AAATATTGTACTTTCAGATTGATACCCTCAGAACAGTACATAAATGTGATTTTTTTTAGAAAGGATAAAATTGTATTTTACATATACCATGTACACCATTGAATTAAAATTTTGATACATTTCACTAAGGTGGCATCAGCAGGTACTATCTTAAGGCAATCTCTCTTTGTGTATATCTTTAGTGACTCAAGGCATTAATAATTTACTCAGGATATATAGGTAAGATATTTTTGTACTTAATGGAAATTTTCTTGTTTAATGGACAAGGGTATTGTTTGCTGATGATTAAATCCCTAAATACATTAATTTTGGCACACTTGATATAATTTAGGTTTTGGTCTACAGTTACATGTTTTGCTCCTAAGAGTTCTCTTTTACATCTTTTTGACAGCAACATCATGACAACAGAGAAGAGTTTTGTGGTTGAGGCTGAAAACTCACAGCATCACCAACAGAAGGAAGAGGGAGAAGGAGCCACAAATTCAGGCCAACAAGAAGCTCATCTGGAGGAAACATCCCAAACAGCAGCTGAAGGAGAGAATCAGTGTGAGCAAAAGCTGGAAACATCTAATGGAGACACTCCCACACATGAAGACTTGACGAAGAACAAGGATCGGACTGCAGAAAGCAGGGGCCTCTCACGGCTGTTCTCCTCATTTCTCAAAAGGCCTAAATCTCAGGTCTCTGAAGACGAAGGAAAAGAAGTTGAGTCATCTAAAGAGAAAAGTGAAGGAGGTCAGAAAGAGATAGAATTTGGTACTAGTCTTGATGAAGAGATCATTTTAAAGGCCCCAATTGCAGCTCCTGAACCTGAACTCAAAACAGACCCATCTTTGGATCTTCATTCATTAAGTAGTGCAGAAACACAGGTAAGGTTATATGAATGTGTGAGAGGTGGGTCTGATGAAGATAGGTTATATACACTATTTTTCATTTAAGAATACTTGACTTACTGCTTATTAACCAGTTAAATTTGATGTTTAGATATTGTGAAGTGATATCAAGCTTTGGGGTTTCTGTTATAAAGAAATTAATGTCATCAGTGGAAACTTGATTTTTAAAAAGATGAAGCATCTTTTTAAATGACAACATGCTTTTAGATGACAACAAGATGGTTCCTACTCCTAAAAGCCCTCTGTACAACAGAATGAAACACAACTCAGTCCCAGGCTGTCGTCACAATTGGGCCTATGTGTGAATCCATTTTTGTGGCCACTGTGCTAGTCTATCTTTTTAAGGGTCTTCCTCTTTATTGCTGACTCTCTACTTTACTAAGCATAATGTCCTTTTCCAGGGAGTCTTGTCCCTCCTGATAACATTTCCAAAGTACATGAGACCGTTATAAAGATTTGTTTATTTCTTTTGACAGTCTGTGTTATATTCAGTTTCTGGTCTGTTTGTTTACCAACACCATAATTCAAATACATCCATTCTTTGGACTTCCTTATATATTGTCCAGCATTTCACATGCACATTAAAAATATCATGACCCGAGTCAGGTGCACCTTAGTCTACAAAGTTAAAAAGGCTTTGTTTTTAACCCTGTAAGTAAGTCTTTCATAGAGACTTACTCAATGTAATTGTTTGATTTCTTGGTTTCTACTTACTACGTATAGGTGTCAATTATGGATACATGTAAAATGACATTTAGAATATGTAGCGCATAATATCTCATTTTGTCATTCACAGGTCTATATTACT